ACTCTGCTAGAAGTGGATATTCCAATTCAATACATCGTTTCTGCACAGTCTCGATACTCTCCTGAAAGGTGAATCATGTGAGAAAAGGCAAATGACTAGTTGAACTCGAAAACGTTTAAGCCTGTTGAAAAACTCCACGCACCTGCTTGATTTCGAAAGTAAGAAGTTGCAGGCTTCGAATTTCTGCATCTTCTTCGTCATCTCCATCCATTTTTCCATATAACTCCCCAATGTCTTCAGGAACCTTAACAAAAGGTTGACTACGAGAATTAAGTTTACAAATTTTGAGTTGTGTTCAGAAAAAAAAAAGCAAAAAAAAAACCGAAAAAAAATACGTTTTCAGCATCCGGCTTCTGTTCCTCCTCTTTTGTTTGCTCTTGAGGAAAGTTGATCTTTTCTATTTGAGTCTGTAAGTAACCCAGTCAAACGGAAGTGAGATGTACGTAATCAAAGGAAAACTGGTAAGCAAGCTAAGAAAAAACATGCCTGTGTCTGCTCGATTGGTTTTTCTTCTTCCAAAATACAAGATTGGATGACTTTATCCTTGAGGAGCTTTTGTATGACATCAGAGTGACGCGATTCAACAAAATATCGGTTATGCTTTAGGACAAGTTTCACTTTGCCGTAGCTCAACGTGCACATCTAAAAAAACAAACTGCAAATCTGCCAGAAACTCAAACACTTGCTAGACTTTGAAACTAAACTACCATGATGGGGAAAAAACAACGTTGTCTAGAATATTCAAAAAAATGTAAAACTAAGAGTCAAGTATATTAAAATTTCGCAGCTTACCTTGATGAACTCAATAATTCCTCGAGGAAGTGCGCTCTTACTAAGCCTCTCCAAATACTCTATGATATCGTTAGTTTGTAACCCTACTGATACTGCAGCGTATAGGGAGTATGCTGTAAGCTGGTACTCGTGGATATGCTCCGGACGGCATACTGGCTAAATATGCAGGATAATGAACACAAGACTATCGTAAGATTTAAACAGTTCTCACCTCCGATATAGCAATCAAAAAATCTCGC